GAATTTTGTTCTACATTTTTGTCCAGCTCTGTCCTGGACCCTCTAATGTGATTCCTGTCAGAGCAGTCGGTAGTGGTAGCCGGGTACCATCTAGTTTTGCTGGACTCAGTCTGGTGGAGGCTGTGGTACTTGTGGTTCATTAGTCCTTTGGATTAATCTTTCCCTTGTGTCCTTGGTTTTCTTCATTGTCCGTTGCTTTAGACAGGGTGAGACCAGTGGAATATCTTAGATGGCCGCTCTCACAGGCTAAGACCCCAGACGCTATTTACTAAAGTAGAATGTAGACCATTTTCTTTATAAACTATGTTATGCCAATTGAGCTAGATATTCCATGAAACTATGGTTCCCACAGCCTTTAGCCCAGTAACTGGGTCCCTCAGGGAGTTTGGATGTGTCTGTGGAGCTTCCATGACTTTACGAGGTCTGTATATTTTAATTCTTCTAAAAGACTTATATACTGGGGAAAAGAGCTGCTAAGAATATCTTAGTGCTAGAGACTAAAACTGGCCATTGATTGTGAAATATTAACCTGTTCTCAATGTGTATTGATTTTATTTTACTAAGAGAATTCCATCTTACTGTTACTGGCCTTTGTTTTGTTTCTGTAGGTCAGTTAACCATGATTGTGGGCCAAGTGGGATGTGGGAAGTCCTCTCTTCTCCTTGCCATCCTTGGTGAGATGCAGACATTGGAAGGAAAAGTTCACTGGAGCAAGTATGTGTATTTTTTAATTTTTCCCATCATTTTGTCATACATCTGCTGATCCTCCACGGGAAGATGTTAGAGCAATCGCATGGTATGAGTCTGAGGACCTCTCAGAAATAAATACGGCTTTTAAATTTTTTTTAATTAGTGGAAACCTTAAATGTCATAAATTTAAAAATTGCAAACAGTCACTGTAGAAATTAATAATAGTATAAACTAGTATGTTGCCGAGAAAAAAGTAATTTGGGAATTGTAAAAATAAAGTTAAATGGGTATGGTGCTCAAAAGAAATAACTTAAAAATTCATTCTGAAGAGGCTATAACAAACTTGCATTATTTATCAAGCCTAAATATGAACAGAGACTTGATGGTTCAACATTCAGAGAAAAAAAAATCAAATATTTTTTCTAAAATCTTCACAAGGGGCTGAGAAATCAGCCGTTTCTCTCCACACCTAACTTCAACAAGATACTAGAAGTATTTCGTTATGGATACACATAGGTCAGATTAGTGTGTTGTGCAGCTCCAAAGATATAGGCAAGAAAGTATCTAGCATGGTGTTTCTTCGAGATTTTTAAATGGTTAGTTTGGGGTCTTCAAAGTGCATTGTCATTAAGTGGTTCAGAACCACAATGTTATATAATTGTGTAATAAAGAGTAAATCATACTTGTTTAGTTTGGCTTGTCTTTTGAACTCCCCATGTGCAGTTTATGAAGAAATTGACTATAGTTAATCCAAGACATTAGACTGTAGACCAGTGGTTCTAAACCAGGCATGCTTTCCCCCCTCCGCCGGACATTTGGCAATGTCTGGAGACAGTTTCGGTTGTCACAACTGGGAGGTGGGCTGCTGTTGATCTAGTTGGTAGAGGCCAGAAATACTGCTGAATATCCTGAAGTATACAAGACAACCCCACACAACAAAAAATTATCTAGCCCCAAATGTCCATAGTGCTGAGATTGGGAAATCTTGCTATAGACAAGATTTATTATTCTTTAAAGTCACTTTTTACCTACCAACATTGGTTCCATTGTGGCTTAGTCTGCTGTTTACATATACAGACATCTCTCAGGAATGAGTGAAGACTATTTATGGACACTTGTAGAATAGATTCTATTTTAAACTCCAATTAGGAGAAGGAATGCTTCAGTGTGAACTATGACCTGGAAATGGTGGAGCTGTAAATCCTGTTTTCAGTGTCATTTGCCGAAGAAGGAGCCTGAGAATTGTTGTGTGTACATTTTAGCCCTGTTGGGCAAATCTAACAGATAGTAGCCATGGACTGTTTAGTGCATATCCAGCAGAGAGCTCAGTAAATACTTGCTACCAGCAGTTTGTTTCATGGCAGGTTCCTGGTGATCACTAAGGTCAAGCACTAGGCGCTGTTCACCGTGCTACTGTCACCTTCTGTCTTGGGTGAATGTAGGTTTTGAGAAGTAGGCCCTATTGGATTCAGTTATACTGTGTGACTTGTACAGCCATAATTAAGTTATTTGGGTTTTGTTTTTACCCTGCTTTACCATCATTAAAACAGGAAAATAATGAAAGATAGAGACAGGAAAGGCTTGAGATTTCATTTTCATGCCGCTAGAAAGTCCTACTAGTCTGGCCTTCTCCAATGTTATTTAAAATTCTAGGCCCTAGCTCCACTCGGTCTAAATTGACTCCCAATGTTATAAGAATCACTATCATTGTGTTAATGGATAAATGAATGAATCAATGATGATGAAAATATTTTACACAATCTAGTTATTTAGTTTCTTGCTTTCATAAGCATTTGTACCATTTATATCCTACCTTATTACATAAAGATTTTGAGTTATTTTACTTTAAAAAAACAATAGAATAGTAAAAGTTGAAAAACGAGAAAAAAATCAAGAAGGAAAGGAAAAAGTTCAATAATAATATGAGAAGTTGGTAGAGAGAAATGCATGTACTGGAGTACTGAATAATTATAAAATATGGTCCACTAATTCAGTTCTGGGAGCCCTGATGGTGAAGCAGTTAAGAGTTCAGGCTGCTAACCAAAAGGTCAGCAGTTCAAATCCACCAGCCGCTTCTTGGAAAACCTGTGGGGTCACTATGAGTCAGAATCGACTCAGTGGCACACCACAACGACAGCAACAATTCAGCTCTGAGTTTCATGGAAACTAGAAAATGGGGGAAACATGAAATAAAAAAAAATACATTTACTCAATAGAGGTTAAGATTTTTTCTTTTTTTTTTAACAAAGAAATGAAAAAAACTCTTTCATCGATCCTAATTTAAAAAAAAAACTTATAAAATGGTATATAATTGTTAATGTCCTCAGTATTCCTAAAATTTATTCAAAAGTAAGTTTCATGTGTCAATTATTATGAATCAAATTGAGAACATAGTAACATAATAAGAGAAGATTATTTAGTAAATGTTATTTGAGGGATTACAGGGCACGTGGGAGGGGTGAAGAATGTGGTTAAGATCAAAACAGTGTGACCTAAATATGCAGATCTTCAAAGTCTAGTTTGATCCAGGAATGAAATTAACTACATTTGGAGAAATGAGTAGATTGCCTATCCCTAGGGCCGTAGTCTATGTTTAGTATTGTAGTGTGAATATAGCTTTTTTTTTTAAATCGTTTTCATTCATTTACTGAGTACCTCCTTTGGGCCAGATACTGATCTAGGTATGGAGGATTTAGAAATGAGCAAGAAAAACTGAGTTCCTGACCTCATGGACTTACGTTCTAGAATGTGGCATGCATACAGTACATGTAAACAACAATAACAAACAAAAAAAGATAATACTAGGCTGTGATAAATTCTCTGAAGACAACAAAACAAGACAATTTAATAGGAGGTAGGGGATGGGAGATACTTTAGAGTAGATTCAGAAAAGATCTTTGAGGAGGTGACACTTAAGCAGAGACATGAATGATTCAATGGGGTCATCCAAACAAAGACTGAGAGTAGAGTGATTGGCAAGTACAAAATTCCTAAGGCAGGAATGAGCTCGGTGTGTTTTGAGGATCAGAAAAGGGACCAGAATGGCTGGTGAACAGTGATGGAAGAAGGTGCAAGTTGAGGCTGACTGGAGAGGGAGGCAAGCCTTTTGGGTTATGGTGAGGCAGTAAGATTTTATTCCTAGTTCAATGGGAAGCCATTGAAGAGATTTAAGTTGAGGGGTCACTTAGATTTTGATAAGATATGGTTTACATTTTGAAAAGATGACTTTGACTATTGTGTGGAGCATGAATTATAAAGAGGCTAGAGAGGAAGCAGGGAAACCATGTAGGAGGTAATTTTACCAGTCCAGTTGAAAGATGAAGGTAGCTTGGTATATTGATCAGAGTTCTCCAAAACAGAATCAATAGATTCAATGTATGTGTGCTTGTGTATGTATGTATATATATGCATATATACACACACATACATACATACATATATACACACACACATACATGTATATACATATGTACACACATACAGAGAGAGAGAGAGATTCATTTTAAGGAATTGGCTTTTGTGATTTGCGGGTTGGCAAGTCCCAAATCCACAGGGCAGGCAGCAGGCTGGAAATGCCAGCAGTCTTAAGTCCAAATTCCATAGGGTGGACAACAGGTAGGATTTCTGTCAGAGTCTTGAGGCAGAATTTCTTCTTCTCAAGGAAATCTTAGTTTTTAGCTCTTAAGGCCCTCAACAGATTGGCTGAGGCCCATCCACATTATCGAGGGTAATTTCCATTACTTCAAGTCGACTGATTGTAAATGTTAATCACATCTACAAAATGCCTTCCCAGCAACACCTCGACTAGTGTTTGATCAAACAACGGGACACCGTAGCCTAGCCAAGGTGACTCCTAAAATTAACCATCACACTTGATTTGACACGGTAGCTGTGGAAATTGACCAAAGTGACTGGATTCAGGACATGCCAGAACTAATAGGAGGAAGGTGTGAGAGAAGAATTAAGATGATTCTGAAGATCTATGAAGTCTCTGTAATCTAAACATTATCCTTTTTTGAAAACTTACCTTAACTGACTACAACCCCAACTCTCTATTTCAAGAAGGATTAAGTTTTTCCTCAAAAAAAGTGTACTTTGGCTCTAACACACATGGACACATACACACACACACACAAAACAACTAAGCCCCTCGGGTTGGATAAGCAAACACAAATTCTATTTTCCTTTAATTATAAGACTCACTTAACTTTCTTTGCATGGTGTCCTTAATATCTGATAAAACATATTTTTGGATGAGGCATGTTCAGAGAATACTGACCTTCTTTTGAAGAATGATTTGTAATTATTCTTTTCGTTCTGGAAAATGCTGTTGTGCCCAGTCCAATAAGAAAATGCATATAAAAGTTAATGAGAGCAAAGCTAATTTAGAAATTATTGATATTGATAGGGTGATGATATACAAATGCTAAGAAATCATTTACTTCAACATTTACTTGAATTATTTAATAATTTTTCACCTCAAAACAAAAATTTTTGAGTTCAAAGTAAATGTTATCGTTAGGCACCAAGTACCTTGCTATGATTTTTTTCCCCATTGCATAGATTTTATTTTTAAATTTTAGACTTGTATGAAAAAAAAAATCCAATAAAGTACTCTGATCTCATACAGTGAGAAATATTTACTTTGGGAGGGAGAGAAGGTACTGTTGCTCATGTAAAGCACACCTACATTGGTAGAATCTGGTACAGAAAGAAAACGGCAGATGTTTCCCGAGGAATTGCTACTTTGACCTTGTCTGATGTGTTGTAGCCCCGGAAGAGAAAAATGAGAGAGAGGAGGGATAGGCTAAAAAACACATCTCCAGCATTGTTAGAGGTCCAGGGTTCTTATTCCTACCTTACTTCTACATCAATGGGGTGCTTTGTATTTGTTGAGAGGCAACAAACAGTCTGCTTGACTGAAGTTGTCCTTCCCCAGGTATCATGAAAATCAATAACTTGTACCAGTTTCTTAGACACTAGAATAGTTTTTCCTGCCTTTAGTAACCATCTCAAGATGTCAGTAACAACGTGCAGTCGTAAAAATCTATCCTTAGTAAGTTTAAGCAGAATATCACTAGGTCACATAATTAGACAAGTTTCTCAAAAAAGCATATAACACCTTCCACAGTCAAATAGAAATTATTTTTAGAGTTCTTGTACGTGTTAATTATGTATTATGTGGTTATTGAATTCAGGTCTTTCAGAATGATGGAATTCAACTCAACATAAGTTATTAAAAATTTGATCAATAAAATGAATAGGTCTTCAGGTAATTTTCCCCATGGTACAGGTATTTCTAAATTTAGACGGTCAAACCCTCTTACATAAACCTGCTGCTGTGGAGTCGATTCCGACTCCTAGCCACCCTGTAGGGCAGAGTAGAATTTCCCCATAGAGTTTCCAAAGCAGTAATCTTTACTGAAGCTGACTGCCACATCTTTCTTCCACTGAGTGGCTGGTGGGCTGGAACTGCTGAACTTTTGTTTGGCAACCAAGTACTTTACCACTGTGCCACCAGAGCTCCTTTCTTTTTATATACATCAACTATGGATTATATAGTTATATAAATTAATTATGGATTGGTTTGATTTATATATACTTCTTATATAAATCACTTCAATCCATGATTAATTATACCCACATGTTGTGGTTTGACCTATTGTGCATGTCTGGATCTCTTACCGGCTCCTTCAGGGCCAAGCTGTGTTTTGTGCACCTTTCACATTTAGAGCCCAAGAAATATTTTTTCCTCTTATGTATTAGGGAGGCTAATTAGGAATTTCAATAGATTAAATTCAAACTTTAAAGGTAGGAGGTCCTTGAAGATATCTAATTCTTATAAAGACTAGGAAACTGTATTCTAGAGCGATTAACCAGGTTCACAGCATTGGGCTAGAATCCAGGTCATTGTATGAACCAATATTTTGTATGAAAGAGAACAGCTCTATCTTTTGGAAGCTTACTAAGTAATTGCTTACTAGCTGATGAAGACAGTAGAAGAATATCGCTTATCAGGTTCGTCTTTGAGATTGTATAAAAAACCATTGGGAAAAAGTAGTTGTTGACTATGTCCAATGTTTATTTTACCTCTTACCTTGTATGTGTGCACATTCATTCTGTATTTATATTTCATAATTAATGAACATTGTTTGCCGTACTTGCAGTGTAAATGAAACTGAACCTTCTTTGGAAGCAACCAGAAGGTATTATTTCTATTTTAACCTGAATTTAATAACTTTCTTCTTCAGACTTTACTTGATGTTTAATCTCTTACTCCTATGTCGGGTTGCCCATTCTGATGATGTACAGTTATTTATTAAATTTTCTAGCATAATCCAACAGCAGTGGTTCTCAACCTTTGCAGTCTGCTAAAAAAAAATTAATTTGCCAAACAAAATGGCTCTTTTGTTAATTGTTTTCCTTCCAATGAGTTACACGTCTCAACTTCGGCTGAAACTCAATTGTCCTCCCCAGTTTGAGTTTAGGATCTGATAAAACGAAAATGTAATAATTAATACATATATTGATTGTGAGTTAAACATGGATGAGATCTGCCTTTAATGGAGCGATGAGGAACCAAGTGCTTCATCTATTTAAAAACAAAAAAACAAAACAAAAACAACAAAGCACACTTAAAAGACAAAGGAAAAGGAGGAGCACGTATGACAGAGGTTGAGAGCCGCTCTTTTACTGCACATCTGGTTGTCTAAGAGATTACTAGCATAATATACAGTACCATGTCTTCTAAACTCCTAAGACATAATGTTTCAGGATGCTAACAGCATTTCGAACTCTCTCTCTTAACCTTAATCTCTTTTAACCTTGATTAGTACTTACAGATCACGAACTAACTGTGGCAATCTGACTTTTAAGCTGACCTGCCCCCACCCTACCCCAGTCCCATCATCTTCTTTATCTTCAGCTCTCATGCATTTTCCTAATTATTACAAATTAAAGTCTGATGTATAGACATAGGGTAGATTGAAAGGCCAAGAAAACGAAGGTGGAGAGGGAAGGGAGGTTCTCATGTTTTTTTAAATAAACCATTTCGGTATGTACTGAAATACCTAGTTTTAAAATAGTTTATTTTAACATTAAAATAGACTTCTCAAAATATTATTGTTTTGAGATCACGTGTGTGTGCGCCTATATCTCTCATTACCGTGGAGTCGATTCTGACTCATAGCAACCCAGTAGGACAGAGTAGAACTGCCCGATAGGGCTTCTTATGGAAGCAGACTGCCACATCTTTCTCCTGTGGAGTGGCTGGTGGGTTTGAACCACGGACCTTTCAGTTAGCAACTGAGGGCTTAACCACTGCACCACCAGCCCTCCTGTATATATATACATATAAAACCTGTTGCCGTTGAGTGAATTCCGACTCATAGTGACCCGGTAGAACAGAGTAGAACTACCCTATAGGGTTTCCAAGGAGTGCTGATGGATTCAAACTGCCAAACTTTTGGTTAGCAGCTGAACTCTTAACCACTAGGCCACCAGGGCTCCGTGTGTGTATATATGTATATATACATACACATACCTATTACCTTAAAATACTTTAATGTGATTAAGCCAAAAGCACATGCTGTAATTATAGTATCAGTTCAGGTTTGTTTTTTTTTTAAAGTCTGTATATAAAATGCATAATTATGTAAAGTGCTTGTAATATAAAGTCAAATATCTGTGGCTAATGGTAAGAGTAAATTGCCATTAATCCTCTGATTAGTTTTAAAACTATCGTTATTTTAGAAAATAAAATTTAAATGAATAGTCTATATTTGAAAACACTCCTTTAACACAGCAAAATCGAATTTTACACGTTGTGTTACATTTTGATTGAATTCTAATCTCTTTAAATTAGGTGAAGTATCTAATCATTAATTACTAAGGTTGGTGGTTGTTAAAATTTTCTTTCAGAAGTTTTCCATTTCTCTGTTTGAGATATTTTATCTACTCGTATCTCCCTTAGTTATAAGAAAATACACCTACATCACAGCACCCTTACATAATTCTGGTATTTTGTTTTTCTTTTCCATTTTCCAGTAGGAACAGATATTCTGTGGCTTATGCAGCTCAGAAGCCTTGGCTGTTAAATGCTACTGTTGAAGAAAATATTACCTTTGGAAGTCCTTTTAACAAACAGAGGTAATATTGAACATATCACAAAATTTAAAACTTAAACAAGCAATTGTTTCTGAAACCTTTACATCCAGAGCTTGCTTTTTTCCTCACTTAGCCCACTTCCTTTCTCATCAGCAAGGTCTTCTGAGTCAACTCTTTTAAAAAAAAGTCTCATAGAAGTTTCAGCCCACCCTGTACACTTATTGAGGACAACTTGTGTACCAAGACTAAACGGCAGAAAACTGAAGACTGTGTGTGTGTGTGTGTGTGTGTGTGTGTGTGTGTGTAAGGAGAAGTGCTAAGATTATTGGTGGGCAAGTGGGGGAGAAATCCAAGTAAGGAGCAGAAGGAAGATTAACTGTAAAATGAAGAGGAAGAATGTGGGATCTGCAGAATGTAGTTATTGGGAGTAACCAGAATATCCGATCTATCAACTGTCTTTCAGATGCCACTTGAGCATAGGGAAGAATGACCCTTTCCTTGAGCTGTGTTCACATGGGTGATACTTAAGACCCTAAACTGTGTCTTTCTTGAAGGCTAAGGAGAAGTAGGTAAGGGGAGAGGCACGAGGATGGGGAAAGGAGAAGGGAAGCAGACAGTGTGGGAGGAAGAGCCTAAACTGGGTGAGATTGTTGGAGGCCTGGGAACAAACCAGACAGAAGGGATTGCTGTGTATTAGCAGTGAGAGATTAGATTGTAAATGGAGTTTGAGACTAGGTAGTGGAGGGCTTTGAAAGCCAACTGGGTATAATTCTGTACATTGTGGGAGGAAGACAAGTTTTAGAAAGGTGAATAACAAGATAAGTGTGATGCTTCATTTGGAAGTTTAATCTGACAGATGTATATAGTATGATTCTGAGTTGAAAACAAGAAGACATTCAAGAATTTGCTGGAACAGTTATCCAGGCATACAGTGTTTGTGGCCTGCACTTGGGGGGTGAGAGTAGCAATAGAAAAGAAGAAATACTTGAGAAAATTCTTGAATAAGAATGGACAGATCAGGGAGAAAAAAAGAGAAGAATCAATGATCACTTGAATATTCTGAGTGGGTGACTGAGAAAATGAAACCATTAGCATTTTCCCTTGCTCCCACCCCCAGGCTCCATGCTTCCCTGGATTTCCAGTTAATCTGATTTCTAGTCTCAGCCATAGATACCTTTGAGTACTGTCAGTCCTCATTGGCTTCCATTTCTCTTCCCTTCAGCATGCATGATAATTTGCACAGATGTTGTTGTTGTTAGATCCTGTCAAGCCAGTTCCTATTCACAGCGACTGTATGTACAACAGAAGGAGACAATGCCTGGTCCTGTGCCATCCTCACAATCACTGCCATGCTTGAGCCCATTGTTGCAGCCACTGTGTCATTCCATCTCATTGAGGGTCTTCCTCTTTTTCACTGACCCTCTACTTTACCAAGCATGGTGTCCTTCTCCAGGGACTGGTCCCTCCTGATAACATGTCCAAAGTATGTGAGACGAAGTCTTGCTATCCTTGTTTCTAAGGAGCATTCTGGCTGTACTTCTTCCAAGATAGATTTGTTCATTCTTCCTGCAGCCCATGGTATATTCAGTATTTTCCACCAACACTGTAATTCAAAGGCATCAATTCTTCAGTCTTCTTTTTTCATTGTCTAGCTTTCGAATGCACCATGGCTTGGGTCAGGCGCATGTTAGTCCTTAAAGTGACATCTTTGTTTTTCACAATTTAAAGAGGTCTTTTGCAGCAGATTTGCCCAGTGCAATGTGTTGTTTGATTTCTTGACTACTGCTTCCATGGGCACTGATTGTGGATCCCAGTCAGGTGAAATCCTTGACAACTTCAGCATTGTCTCCATTTATCATGTTGTTGCTTATTGGTCCAGTTGTGAGGATTTTCCTTCTCTTTATGTTGAGGTGTAATCCATACTGAAGGCTGTGGTCTTTGATCTTCATCAGTAAGTGCTTCAAGTCCTCTTCACTTTCAGCAAGCAAAGATTGTGTCATCTGCCTAATGTAAATTGTTAATATGTCTTCCTCCAATCCTGATGCCCCATTCTTCTTCATACAGTCCAGCTTCTTGCATTATTTGCTCAACATAGAGATTGAATAAGTATGGTGAAAGAATACAACCATGACACACACCTTTCCTGATTTTAAACCACGAAGTATCCCCTTGTTCTGTTTGAATGACTGCCTCTTGGTCTATGTACAGGTTCATCGTGAGCACAATTAAGTGTTCTGGAAATCCCATTCTTCACAATGTTATGCATAATTTGTTATGATCCACACAGTTGAATGCCTTTGCATAGTCAATATAACGCAGGTAAACATCTTTCTGGTATTCTCTGATTTCAGCCAAGGCCCATCTGACATTAGCAGTGATATCCCTGGTTCCATGTCCTCTTCTGAATCCACCTTGAATTTCTGGCAGTTCCCTGTTGATGTACTGCTGCAACTGCTTTTGAATGATCTTCAGCAAAATTTTACTTATGTGTGATGTTAATGATATTGTTTGATAATTTCTGCATTCTGTTAGATCACTTTTCTTTGGAATGGGCACAAATCTGGATCTCTTTCAGTCGATTGGCCAGGTAGCTGTCTTCCAAATTTCTTGGCATAAATGAGTAAGCGCTTCCAGTACTGCATCTGTTTGTTGAAACATCTCAATTGGTATTCCGTCATTTCCTGGAGGCTTGTTTTTCGCCAACTCCTTCAGTGCAGCCTGGACTTCTTCCTTCAGTACCATCAGCTCCTGAAATTGTTGAACATCAACCAGTTCTTTTTGGTACAGTGACTCTGTATTCTTTCCATCTCATTTTGATTCTTCCTGTGATGTTTAATATTTTCCTTGTAGAACCCTTCAATGTTGCAACTTGAGGTTTAAACTTTCTCTTCAGTTCTTTCAGCTTGAGAAATGCAGATGTTCTTCCCTTTTGGTTTTCTAACTCTAGGTCTTTGCACATTTTGTTATAATATTTTACTTTATCTTCTCGAGCCTCCCTTTGAAATCTTCTGTTCAACTCTTTTACTTCATCATTTCTTCCTTTCACTTTATCTACTGTATATTCAAGAGCAAATTTCAGAGTCTCTTCTGACATCCATTTTTGTCTTTTCTTTCTTTCCTGTCTTCTTAATGACCTCTTGCTTTCTTCTTGTATGATGTTCTTGGTATCATACCACAACTCTTCTAGTCTTTGGTCATTAGTGTTTAATGAGTCAAGTCTATCCTTGAGATGGTTTCTAAATTCAGGTGGAATATACTCAAGGTAATACTTTGGCTCTCATGGACTTATTCTAATTTTCTTCAGCTTCGGCTTGAACTTGCTTATGAACAATGGATGGTCTGTTCCACAGACCAAGGCCCCTGGCCTTGTTCTGACTGATGATATTGAGTTTTTCTATCGTCTCTTTCCACAGATATAGTCAATTTGATTCCTGTGTATTCCCTCTGGCGAGGTCCACATGTAGAGTCACCATTTATGTTGTTGAAAAAAGGTATTTGCAATGAAGAAGTTGTTGGTCTTGCAAAATTCTATCATGAAGTCTCTGGTGTAGTTTCTGTCACCAAGGCCATATTTTCCAATTACTGTTCCTTCTTCAGATCCCTTATGGTGTAGTGGTTAAGAGCTTGACTGCTAACCAAAAGGTTGGCAGTTCAAATCCACAAGCTCTTCCTTGGAAACCTTATGGGACAGTTCTACTCTGTACCAGAAGGTCACTATAGGGTCTCTATGAGTCAGAATCTACTTAACAGCAATGGGTTTGTTTTTTTGCGGGTGGGGAGTTCCTTCTTTCCAACTTTCATGTTCCAATCACCAGTAATTATCAATTCATCCTGATTGCATGTTTAATCAGTTTCAGACTGCAGAAGTTGGTCAAAATCTTCAACTTCCTCATCTTTGGCGTTAGTGATTGGTGTGTAAATTTGAATAATACTCATATTAACTGATCTTCCTTGTAGGTGTATGGATATTATCCTATCACCGACAGTGTTGTACTTCAGGATAGATCTTGAAATGTTCTTTTTGATGATAAATGCAATGCCATTCCTTTTCATTTCGTCATTCCCGGCATAGTACACTATATGATTGTCAAAATGGCCAATACCAGTCCATTTCAGCTCACTAATGCCTAGGATATCAATCTTTATGCGTTCCATTTCATTTTTTGATGACTTTCAATTTTCCTAAACTCATACTTTTTACATTCCACTTTCCAGTTATTAATGGACGTTTGCAGCTGTTTGTTCTCATTTTGAGTTGTGCCACATCAGCAAATGAAGGTCCCGAAGGCTAGGCTACATCTGCCTCATTAAGGATGACAGCACTTTGAGGAGGCAGCTCTTCCCCTTCCCACCTGAGGGACTCATCTTCTGGCACTGTATCAGACAATGTTCCACTTCTATTCATAAGGTTTTCAGTGGCTAATTTTTTCAGAAGTAGACCCCCAGGTCCTTCTTCCTAGTCTGTCTTAGTCTGGAAGCTCAGATAACCACACACAAATCATTCTTTAGCCATGGTAAGCCCCCTGTTGTCCCTCATATGCAGTATGAACGTCTTCATCTTCATCAAGTTCCTTAAGCTTCCTTTTCCTCATTTTCTTCCTAGTAAATGACTACACAACTTTTCAGAAACAGCTTTAACATTGCCTCCTTTATAAAGACATTTCTAGCTTCTCAGAGTTGACAGTCATTCCTCTGTATTCTAGAAGTACTTTGTACCTATCTCTACTGTAGCACCTAATAGCCTACATTTTTATTATATATGTTCCTGTATCAGTTTTCTGTACCATTTACTAGCTTTTTTAGAGTGGAAACTAATACTATTTATTTTTGCATCTGCAAACTTAGTGTAGAGGCTAGCTTATACTAAGTTGTTTAGTTAATGTTCTAGTTTGGCTTCCAAGATATTGGACCTTGGACTTAGTTGATGGGCAGTATATTAATAGTGATCTAAAAAATCAAAATAATTTCTCACAAAGGTACAAAGCTGTCACAGATGCCTGTTCTCTTCAGCCAGATATTGACTTACTACCATTTGGAGACCAAACTGAAATTGGAGAGAGGGTGAGTTCTGCATAATTTTAAATAATGAACAGAAATCTAGAAAAGTCTTCTGTTTGTTTTTAATTTCTAATGGGGCATAATGAAATCTGAGAGCTTGAGTGTTATGTGTTATCTTAGTGACAAGTTCCAGAAATGGGAGGCAGGAACCCTTTGATTCCATTCTCCCTTAAGTATTTGTGGAATAACCATGGTGTACTTAACATTGTGCTACCGCTCTGGAGTTCCCAAGGAAATAAAATATATACTTGGCTTTGACCAAATGTATTTTTGCTCATTTGGAACTTATGTAAAATTGGTTTGAAAATTGAGATTACTTCTGACAACTTCTTCCACTGTTGTCAACATCTGGTGATTCTTGTTGAAGTGTTCTTTTTCTTTGGTGTAAACATGTTTTACATTGACGTCATGCAGTTTTGACCAACTGAAAAATATTTATACCTGTACTCTTTATAGCAATGTTGGCTAACTTTTTAAACTCTTTTAGCTGTCAAATACTGAGCAAAATGCTTTATATGCATCATCTACTTCATCATAACAAATCTGTAGTATGGGTGTTATTATTATCCACATGTTATAGCTGAGAAAACTGAGGCTGAGAGAAGTTAAGGAACTTGCCTAGTCACAGGATTAATGGTACATCAAGCTCAGTCTGAATCTGAAGCCTGAGTTTTTAATGGCTATTCTTTATTGAAGTATGTTGTTGTTAAATGCCGTTGAGTCAATTCAGATTCATAATGACGCCATTTGACAGAGTAGAACTTCCCCATAGGGTTTTCTAAGCTGTAATCTTTATGGAAGCAGATTGCCAGGTCTTTCTTCCATGGAGCCACTGGGTAGGTTCAAACCACCAACCTTTCAGTTAGCGGCAGAGTGCTTAAATGTTGTGCTACCATGGCTCCTTACTGCAATATAAACCAAAAAACCAAACCCATTGCCAATAAGTCAAATTCCTACTCATATATATTACAGTATAGGATAGTGCAAAGCATGAACTTATCTTCTATGAGCCTCAGTTTCCTCATTCTGTTAAACAAGGAAAACAATACCTACATATTTGAATTGTGAGGAATAAAAGACATAAGGAATGTAAAATTGTTCACACAAGCCTTGCACATACTAAGTGCTCAATAAATACTAGTTTATTTTAAAATTCATAGTTTGCAATTCTTTATGAAAGCATGTTGCTGGAGAGCTCTGTTGAAACATAACTTGTAACATCAAATTTAAAAGTACGTATTAAATAAATGACAGACACAGTTGAGAAACTAGAAAAAACTCTTGGATTTGCTTGTAGCATTTGGCATTCACCATGTTTTGATAACTAATTATTTTGTGTAGCAGAGCTCTCTATTAGAGTGAAAGTAGGATTAATGTTATTTTCAGTCAAAATTTATCTTAATTTAATTCAACTATTGATCAGCAGAGTTTTCATTTTATCTTACCAATGTTATCATAACCTTACCATTTAAAGGGAATTTTTTACCAACAGATAATTTATCAATGGAAAATATGAGTGTTTATAGATATTTTCTTCTCTAGGGCATCAACCTGAGTGGGGGGCAGAGGCAGAGAATTTGTGTGGCACGAGCTCTCTATCAAAACACCAACATTGTCTTCTTGGTAAGAATATTGTCTTTACTTTTATTTATATTTGATTTTTTCCCACTGGACAAATGAGACTTTAAAAGAGAGAAGTCAAGTAACTCAAGGAAAGACAATTTAATTTGCAAAATCATAAAGAATATAGAGAAATGAATATTCATAGTACAAATCAGTAGATCAATATGTAAGATTTAGAGATGAGAAATCCAAATTGGTGTCCAAAAAAATTGAGATGCCCTAAATGCTTGTTTATCTGAGTTTCTGAACCACAGGAATAATAAATAATGGAGTGTGGATGATGCTGTGTCTTCATTAGGCAGGATCATAGGTCTTCTCATTTATATTTGCTAGTAAAGAAAGAAGGCCCAGAGAATGTACTCATGGTGGATATAATGGTAAGTAAACAGAATGCTCCTTTCCAGTGGTGTGCAACTTAGACAGTGCAGAAGAGTTATCTGTGAAGCTTTCTAAAACTATAGGATGGCTAGACCTAGACCTGCTGAATCATAATCTGTAAGGGCAGAGTCCAGAATCTGTCTTAAAAATGCTCCATGGGTTATTCTCATGCATATTCTGGGTTAACAACTTGACTCTACCTGTGGGCACGCAAATTATGTTCGATGATGGTGTTGATTATGATCTTGCTCTATTTTAGTTCCTTGGGCAGGAGGCAGCCAAAATAATTTATAAGTAGACAATGTGTATTGGAGATCAGAGGACTATGTAAATGCATCCTTCTCTTGCCTTCCCCTCTTGTGCAATTATTAATCACTTAGAAAACTGGTTCTCAGACTTCCTTTAGAGCCTTTAATCCATCTAATCTCTAGAGTAGGTTGATTTTGGAGTCTCCCAGTAAATTTGGATCCATTATTGTGGATTGAAGCAGAAGTTGGATGCACTGGACATTCACTTCAGGTTCATCTCCCTAAGAACGCTTGTCTGCAAAATTTCACCAGAAAACCACTATAAAACCCATAGCAAGATCTAGCAGTAACTTACATAATTGTAAGTCCTTTTCATAAGGGATGGACTCACAACTAGAAATGACTTCTTGAACCTTGGGATCAGTTGATTGAACCACCTGAGTACCAAGTAACTTGGAAATCTGTAAGGGACCAAGGTCTCCTGGCTGTGGCTCTGCTACCTTAGTTCATCTCACTACTTGCAATTTAAATGTAGATTCTTGGAATTTGAAGAAGTCTTAGGGTTAACTGATTGTGAATTCCCACCCATTACAGCATTCATTTTAACATCATCTCCGATAGCTTCTCGATCACTCTCTGTGAAGATAGATGGCTTATTTAGAGCATTTAGGAGAAGACTGTATGATTCCAAAATGTCAAAAATTTCACTTGATGCTCTATGTTACATTATAGGAATAAATATATTAGTATAATCTATAGCAGTGTTATTACCCAAAAATCAATTGCTACAATTTCCTAAATCCTTCTCTAAATTTTTGAGTCACTTGGTGCATGAAAACTTCCTTTATCCCCCAAGACAGTCAGAGTTAGTACAGTAGGAAGTATGTTATTCTTATAAATAATAATAATCATGGCAAACATTTATCTCATGTTTATATTATGTATCTGGCACTATAAATACCATTATTATTTTGTTAAAATTTTCTACTTTATTTTTATTATTCAGAATTCAGCTACATCTAATTGTTTTCATTCTTTCTTTTGATCTACTGTTATAGGTTGCCAAGTAATGTTTAATAGATGCTACCTTTAGAAATACTGTTTGAAATTTTCTGTGTAAATGCTCTTAATTCTATAATAAGGGATTTTTCAGTTAATGAAAGTGAAATACTTGAATGGGAATTATAAAACTTGAATCTTGTTTTTAGCAACACTTTTATCTTTCTCATTTAAAGTATATTTACTTATCTTATTTGTGTCCCAGTTTCCCTGTAGGTAAAGTAAGAATTATAATCATATTATTTGTCAATAACTGATAAACTGTATTCTGTCAGGTAAAATTGACTTTTGTCAAAAGGTGTCAATTATACTGTGCTGCATACTCACTTGAAAAGATTTCAGTGAATGGTTTCATGATTACTTGAGCTCGTCTTATGGGATACTGTCAGTAAATTATCTAGGATTACCTGATATCTCTACACATTGGTAAATATTCAGGTACGCTAGGTAAGCTTATTAAACAGACCCAGATGACTAAAGCCTATACCATATTGATGGTAGTTTTTGAACTTGAAGAGCCTATGTATAAGAATTCAAACCACTTTGAATAGTGTCATTTATCAATACATAATTTTTAAGGTGAGAGAGGAAATGAGATCAGGGCCACAATAGATGGACCCTGATAGAATGGGAGAAAAACATGGAGCAGAACTGAAATTCTCAAAAAGTCCAGACTTACTGGACCAGATGAGACTAGAGGACTCCCTGAGACTATCGCCCTCAGATACTCTTTAAACCTTGAACTGAAACTATCCACTGAGGTCACCTTTTAGTGAAATAACAGATGGAAATACAAAAACTGAAAGATATTCTTCATGAGTGATGTGCTCCATTAAAAAGCATCTATATGAGACCAAAAGATCAACAATTACTCTAAATCAAAGATGAGAAGATAAGGAGGCAGAGAAACTAGAGTACTGTAAACAGAACAACCCAGAACACAATTAAAGAGAATGTTGACACATTGTGAAAAATGTAACCAATGTGAACAACTTGTGTAGAAATTGTCAAATGGAAACCTAATTTTCTGTGTAAACGTTCAACAAAAACAAATAAAATATTACTAAGAAAAGAGGAAATAAAGGTTAATTTTTAAATGAATACTTTTTTCTGAAAATTGAAAGTCATACGAAGTCTGTTTTTATAAATTGGATTTCTAGGATAATTTCCCTTTGTTATTTGCATTTCTACCTTCTAGAGGAATTGAGTATACATAAAGAATATAGAAAATTTTCATTCTTTCCCCCCTTCTGATTGCAGGATGACCCATTCTCTGCCCTGGACATCCACTTGAGTGATCACTTAATGCAGGAAGGGATTTTGAAATTTCTCCAAGATGACAAAAGGACACTCGTTCTGGTGACTCACAGATTGCAGTATCTGACACATGCCGACTGGGTAAGAGTTTAGAAGAGCTTTTCATTAAGTTTTATGATACAGTCATATTTAAAAATAGGGTCACTGATAAATGCTTTCTGAATTAGAGGTCATTCAATTTTGCTGACTAAGGGTTTTTGTCACAGTTCTGCTAATATTTGCTTTCCTTAGATCATAGCCATGAAAGATGGAAGTGTACTAAGAGAAGGGACTTTGAAGGACATTCAAACCAAAGATGTTGAGCTTTATGAACACTGGAAAACTCTTATGAATCGGCAAGATCAAGAATTAGAAAAGGTAATTGCCCATATTTCTGAAGAGCCCAGGAACCTGTTCAGGAAGGTCAGAAATGCACTGTATAGTGACTAAAAATGCTTTCAAATAAGTATTTTCATTTAAAGTTGAATATTATGGTCCTTATCTAAAACCCAAAATAACCATATCTGAATATGTCATTAATGGACAGACTGCATTGAAACTATAAGAGTCTAATGACATCTTTTGGATCCAGTGCATTCAAAACCACTTGCTGAAGCAAGACATTTAACTTCATAGTCATTTTTCTCATCTGTAATAGGAGAATATTTTTACTTACCACCTACCTACAAACAAGGGTTGTGGGCAAGACAAAAGCCAAGACAGCATTGAAAGAAGGAATTGCTGCTGGCTGTGGTCGAAGCTGCAAGACTTGTCTGGAATGATATTGGAGGATGAGGACAGATGATCAGTGGAAATAATAAAATTTCACATTTGTATAGTATTTTAAAGCCCACAAGTCTTTTTTTTTTTTTTTTGACATGCTCTTATTTGGTTCTCACAAAACTGAGAAGTAAGTAAAGAAAATATTATCTTACTTTTACAGAGGAGAAAACTGAGACTCAGGGAAAGTAATTTGACTAAAGTTGTAAAGTGCATATAATAAGTGGTACCAGTGGATCTTAAACCCAGGTCCAAATCACATGTAACTTCAGGTTAATGCTATCTGTAATGTAAGTATAACATTGAATGGAACAATAGCCAAGTTGGAAACCAGATTGAATGTAGTGAAAGAGGAACAACTTGTGGATAAGAGGTGAAATTATAAATTGAATTCACAAATTTGTGAAATGCTTTTTCTTGGGTTGGGACTAGGAACTATTCAGAATTTGGTACTCCTGTCTAGCAATGGGCATTCTAAAATGAAATAAAAGTAATTCAATTTTATAAAATGAAATACTTGTGTCAGCAAATTTCTTAAAAATAGCGAGAAATTAAAATATTATTTTAGAAAGGAAAACAAGGACCTATGCTTCAGTAGAGAGGGGAAGATAAAAAGTCGAATAGACCTTGAGATTGGTCTTTCTTCTGTGTTGCCTACGATCTCAAAAGCAAACCACATAAGGAAGAAAAGACGTGTAAAAACCTATGAGTAGAATAAGACAGATCACAGAGCCATTGAAATGAGAATGTCCATCAAAAGAAGATTACAAGGGATAATCTGCTAGTCCCCATTTAGAAATTACGCTGTAGGAAGTGTGATTATAAATTACTTACTGGGGATATTTCCAAATGACATTTTTTTCAGTGGTTTAGATGCCAGGGACAAAAAAATATGACATAAGCTTGAGGAGTGGGACAATTATGGTTTACTTTGGAAAGAAGATCTGGGGGGATAAAACGAGAGAGAGCTGTTGGCTTGATTTTAGAGTAATGCTGGTATGCAGGCCAGGAAAAAAGTCTATTAAGTTGTATTTAGAAATGAAGCCATCACTTGAGATAGCATGGCTCTATAATTAAAGACGCATTACCCGTTGCCGTCGAGTCAATTCTGACTCATGGCGAACCTATAGGACAGAGTAGAACTGTCTGGTAGGGTTTCCAAGGCTGTAAATCTTTAAGGAAGCAAACTGTCACATCTACTTCCTGTGGAGCTGCTGGTAAATTCAAACTGCTGACCTTTCCGTTAGCAGCCTAGAGATTAATCACTGCGCCACCAGAGCTCCTGAACCTAAATTTGTATTTACTTATTGCAAATATCAACACAATTTAAAATATTTAACCTATTACGAGTATTTACTCAGAAGACAATTGACTTTAAAGGTTAAAAAAAAATCTCAGAGATATTAAGTCTGTTCACACAGTGTAAGGAGTTGAACCAGAACCAAAATCTTCTGCTTTTCAATGTGTATGTCTATTTCATTCCATTAAGCTATATATAAAGGACAGGTATCTTCTTTAACTTTGCATTTTATCTAGCTTCATGTACAAATGTTAGTTTTTGTATCATTAGTCAACATTAAAATCTAAAGTGAACTTGAGTCTGTAGAATGGTATTCAAGAGACATTTCACTTTTACTCTTTTAGCCAAGAATCAGGATGCAGTAGAGCCTTCTAGAATAGCAAGTCTCCTAGATCAAACATGGTGTAGGAGAGCAAAAAAAAATCCAGATCACCACCTAGGGATTTATTGCCAAAAGTTCATTGGTGCAGCCATCAAACTCTTTCTTTGATTTTCTTTTTTTGTATTAGCACATACAGGAAGCCTCCAATTTACCAGAGATTCCAAAAGTTTGTGGGTCAGTTGTCTGGAACTCAGAGTGAATTTCCCCACAGAAACACGGTTACAGTTAGTTTTACAGACCGGCTTGCGGAACCTGATTCAACCCACAATGTAGATGAACTAATGTTACTTCAGTTATGAGGCCAGAGGGGCCGGAGTGTTGGAAGCAGGGGAGTGTAGAAAACAAAATGCTTCTCCCTTTCTTGAGAACAGGACAAATCTGAGGCAACCCTTTAAAATGTGCAAAGTGTGTTTTGGCTCCTTTCTCTTATCTTTTGCGTATTTCTCCCTCCTAGGGCTTTTTCCTAAGCACCTAGTTACCTAAGTACCTTCATCACCCCTTTGCTTCAAAATTACCTACCAAAATTCCAGTTGAAATTCTTTTATGCAGCTGCTTTAGGAAGGTATTAAACTCATTATGATTGAACGGTTCATCATAGTAGTGGATGACTGACAACATCTTAACCAATCCAGGACTACAACCTTTTCTTTTTATTGTGATAAAAAAAAATCTATAACAAAACATTTGCCAATTCAACAATTTTTACATGTATAATTTAGTGATATTGATTACATTCATCATGTTGTACAGCCATTACCACTGTTTCCAAATTATCCCTCCACCATTAACAGAAGTTCAGTGCCCCTTTAGCAATGACTCCCTTGTTCCCCCTCTCTCCTACCCCTGGTAACCACAAATAAGCTTTGGTCTCTATATATTTGTCTATTTCATATAAGTGGAATCATACAATATTTGTCCTTTTGTGTCTGACTTATTCAGCGTAATGTTATCAAGGGTCGTCCATGTTGTAACATGTATCAGGACTTCATTTCCCTTTGTGGCTGAGTAATATTCCATTATATGTATATTACCACATTTTGTTTATTCATTCATCTGTTGATGGACATTTAGGTTGTTTCTGCCTTTTGGCTGTTGGTTATTCATTTTTAATGGAAGATATTTATTAAGATAAACCTGTCTCTAGTTAGAAACATTAAAAGGAGTGCCTGCAAGTGATATAAAAATGAAACCATTTGCAGTTATGGAACTATGCTTTAAAGCTAGGGGACATAGATAGCTCCCTGTCCCTGGCGTCAGCTTTACCACATTGTTACTGCTTTTCCTGGCTTCTTACTGCTCTATACCACTGAGCTCTGAAGGACTTCCTACAAACCTGAGGTATTTTTCCCACGTCTGCTCCTATGGCAGGAGTCACTAAGCTCTAGAGTGAGGAGAGAGCCCTCGAGACTGATACAGGCAATTAACCATTGTGTGTGTGTTAGTCATTGGTAAGTCAAAACCTTCCTGTGGCTCTGAGCCCCTTGAATCATAGCATAATGTTCACTGTAGGATATGGAAGCTGATCAAACAACATTAGAGAGGAAAACTCTCCGAAGAGCCATGTATTCCAGAGAGGCCAAAGCCCAAATGGAGGATGAAGACGAAGGTAGATCTTTTTCTTGTATCTGAAACATTCAGATGAGGGTGAAAAGGTTAGATTACACCCTTTTGGCATGTGCACAAATTTCAAATCTTTATGTCCTTCTGGTGAAATTTTATAAATTCAGGCATTTAGGAGTCAAAAAATTATAGATGTTTACAGGCCAAGCTTATAGTATTATTGGCAACACAGCTTAGTTAGCTACTGATCTATAGTTCCAGGCAATTTGATGAGTGGTAAATCAACAAAGGATTTCATCCAAACATAGATTTTATGTTTATTTGATCACTCATTCATTCATTCGTATTTCGTCTCATTTTCAAAAAAATTGAAGTTTCACCCTGTTAGAAACATTTAAATTTTCCAAGACTAATACTTCTATTTCTATAAACTTAAGGAAGATTTTCATATGCTTTTTAGTGAAAGAATACAAATTCTTTCTACCTATTGCCAGCCTGAAGCTTATACAAGTTTTTGATATGCAGAGGAAGAAGAGGAGGAAGATGAAGATGATAATATGTCCACTGTAATGAGGCTCAGGACTAAAATGCCATGGAAAACTTGTTGGCGGTACCTCACTTCTGGAGGGTTCTTTCTGCTCTTCCTGATGATTTTCTCTAAGCTTTTGAAGCATTCAGTCATTGTAGCTATAGACTACTGGCTGGCCAAGTGGACATCGGAGTACAATAGAAACAACACTGGAAAAGCTGATCAGGTACAAAGGGTTTTGTTTTTAAATTATCAAGGAAATGTTGAGACTAGCAGTGATATCCTTACCTAGTTAGATATTAATAGCCCAAACGGAAAAGGTTTACACACAGAAAGAAACAATCTTTGATGGTTACGAGGGAGGGGAGGGGTAGGGAGGGAAAAACACTAGACAATAGATAAGTGGTGACTTTTGTGAAGAGTAAGACAGTACAACTAGACCAAGGCAAAGTCATAGAAGCTACATAGACGCATGCAAACTCCCTGAGGGACCGAATTACTGGGCTGAGGGCTAGAGACCATGGTCTTGGGGAACATTTAGCTCAATTGGCATAACAGTTTATAAAGAAAATGTTCTACATCCTACTTTGGTGAGTACTCTCTGGGGTCTTAAAAGCTTGTGAGTGGCCATCTAAGGTACTCTACTGGTCCCACCCCATCTGGAGCAAGGGACAATGAAGAAAACTAAAGACACAGGGAAAGATTTGTCCAAAGGACTAACGGACCATAATTCCCACAGCCTCCACCAGACTGAGTCCAGCACAGCTAGATGGTGCCCAGCTACCACCACTGACTGCTCTGACAGGGGTCACATTAGAGAGTCCTGGACAGAGCTGGAAAAAAATGTAGAGCAAAATTCAAACTCACAAAAGAAAACCGTAGTTACTGGTCTGACAGAGACTGGAGAAACCCTGAGAGTATAGCCCCCAGACACTCTTTTAACTCAATACTGAAGTCACTCCTGAGGGTCACCCTTCAGCCGAAGATTAGACAGGCCTATAAAACAAGCAGTAATACATGTAGTTCAACCACGTATACAAGACTAAATGGGCACACCAGCTGAGGGGCAAGGACAAGAAGGCAGGGGGGTCAGGAAGCTGGATGAATGGAAATGGGGAGCCCAAGGTTGAGAAGGGGAGAGTGTTGACACGTCACAGGGTTGGCAACCAATGGCACAAAACAATATGTGTACTGTTTAATAAGAAACTAATTTGCTTTGTAAATCTTCACCTAAAGCACAATAAAAAAATTTTTTTTTTAAATAAAAAAGCCCAAAAGGATAGTAAGCTTAGTATCATGGTTACTTCAAGGTACCAGTTTCTCACACGGCAGATTTCATGTTGAGATGTTAAGGGACTAAGTGTTAATCCTTTTTCTCTGGATTCCAAACTCCTCTGATGAAATAGTACCTCAGTTTATTCATCTCCATAGCTTCCTCGTTTATGAAGAAAAATAAAACTTTATGTAGGTAGATGATAAATATATGGAGGAGAGAGAAGGATTTTATACCAAAAGTTACGGCAGTATTTATCTATCTGAAAGAAAACAACAAAAATTATTTAGTAGTTATCTATGGATGTTATACTTACAAGTGTAACTCATGTCATTTTTATATCATTTATGTATTTTTTTAATTTCTGAAATTAAATCTGCAAAATATAAGAGGTTCAAAGTGGCCTCTGGATCCAGATCTCTTGGATTAGATTTCTGGAAGTGCCACTTATTAGCTGCAAGCCAAGTTAGTTAAGTTCTCTGTGCCTCAATTTATTCATCTGTAAAATAAGATTAATAATGGGACAATGTCATAGGACTTTTGTGAAGATTATTAAGTTAATACTTAGAACCATAATTATGGTTCTAAGGCCATAAACAGAGTAAGCTGTCAAAACGTCAAAAAATGAAATCTATTATTATTTCTTTTTATTTTTTAAATTTCTAGGTAATTAAATCTAGCTTTTGGGTATTTTATTTTTGAAATATTACTGTGCTTTAGGTGAAAGTTTACTGTGCAAATTAGTTTCTCATTCAGAAATTTATACACAAATTGTTTTGTGACATTGGTTGCAATCCCCAAAGTGTGTCAGCAGTCTCCACTTTTCCACCTGGGTTCCGCATGTCCATTCATCCAGTTTTCCTCTCCCTTCCTGCCTCCTCGTCTTTGCTGTTAGACAGGTCTCACATATTTGATTGAACTAAGAAGCATGTTCCTCACATGTGTTGTTATTTGTTTTATAGGCCCGTCTAATCTTTGGCTGAAAGATGGACTTCGGAAATGGCTTCAGTTCTGAGTTAGCAGGGTGTCTGGAGACCATAGTCTGGTCTTTTTTGTGTGTGTGTGAATTTGAATTTTGTCCTACATTTTTCTCCGGTTATGCCTGGGACCTCCTATTGTGATCCCTGTCAGAGTGATCAGTGGTAGTAGCCAGGCACCATCTAGTTCTTCTGGGCTCAGGCTGGTGGAGGCTGTGGTTCATGTGGACCATTAATCCTTTGGCCTAATATTTTCCTTGTGTCTTTGGTTTTCTTCAGTTCTCCTTTGCTGTGGACAGGATGGGACTAATTAATGTATCTTAGATGGCCACTTGCAAGCTTTTAAGACCCCCAGAGTAGGAGGTAGAACGTTTTCTTTATGACCTATATTTATGCCAGTTGACCTAGATGTCCCTCGAGACCATGGTCCCCAGCCCTCAATCCTGGTAACTGGTTCCCTCAAGGTGTTTAGATGTGTCTAGAAGCTTCTATGACTTTGTCTTGGTCAAGTTATGTGACTTCCCCTATATTGTGTGTTGTCTTTCCCTTCACCAAAGTTAATGCTTGTCTACTATCTAGTTAATGATTTCCCCTCCAGATCACTCCCCTCTATTGTAATGATCAAAGATTGTTTTTTTCTGTGTATAAAGCTTTTTTTGAGTTTTTATAATAGTGGTCTCATACGGTATTTGCCCTTTTGTGATAGACTTATTTCACTCAACATAATGCTCTCCAGATTCATCCATGTTGTGAGATGTTTTGTGGATTCGTCATTTTTCTTTATTGTTGTGTAGTACTCCATTGTGTATATGTACCGTAATTTGTTTATCCATTCATCTGTTGATGGGCACTTAGGTTGTTTCCATCTTTTTTGCTATTGTGAATAATGCTGCAGTGAACATGGGTGTGCATACGTCTATTTGTGTGACAGCTCCTATTTCTCTAGGATATATTCCTAGGAGTGGGATTGCTGGATCACTTGGTATTTCTATTTCTAGCTTTTTTAGGTGGCACCATATCATTTTACACAGTGGTTGTACCATTTTACATTCCCACCAGCGGTGCATGAGAGCTCCAGTTTCCCCACAACTTCTCCAGCATTTGTTATTTTCTGTCTTTTTGATTAGTGCCTATTCCTTTTGTTTTTAGGTTAATCATAAACATTTAAAGATAATGCTTCGTTTGGATTTAAGGGCGAGATATATGTATATATGTTATATATATAAGCTATGTATGTTTACACATACACACGCACACACACACACACACCACACATAGGGTTTTTTTGCTGTTATCTAATGGTATTTGATTTTCATTACCTATACCAGTGTATTAGCTGGCAATTCTGAGAATAGGGATAGGAAGAATGAGCGCTACAAAGTAGGAAGACAAGAATATGCTCCAAATCTAAAAGCAGACTCTAACCATCTAACTGCCCTTGAGCAAAGAGATTGAAGGAAGCAAGTAGGGGGTTGGCCCGCAGGACTATGGGGCAGGGATACCATCATGGGTCTCCGGCAACTACACTTCCACAGTTGTCTAGATTGATGTACGCTAATGAAGCCAACAATCTGCCTGACTTTGATTTTCGTTTTTCTAGTAAGAAAAGACTCTGTCGATAATTTCATACATGCCTGTTCTGTTGATTGCTTTTTTAGACCTACTATGTGGCTGGATTTAGCATACTCTGCGGAGCAGGTATTTTCCTTTGTCTTGTTACGTCTCTCACTGTAGAGTGGATGGGTCTCACAGCTGCCAAAAATCTTCACCACAATCTTCTCAATAAGATAATTCTTGGACCGATAAGGTAAAAAGTAGTTATATCTTACTCTCAAACACAAAAAGATAAAAACATGTATTTTGCAATTTAAGAGAAATGTGAAATTTTAAGGAATTTCTGCAGTCCTTGAGCAAGTGAATAGGCACCTTCCCATTTCCATGACTCTAAAAAGTCCATTTACAGTGCTCAGGTCCCAGTTAGTTTAATATTTTCATATATTTACATCTGTTTATTACCTAGATTCTTTGATACAACACCCCTGGGATTGATTCTTAATCGCTTTTCAGCTGATACAAATATCATTGATCAGGTAAGTGCCTGAGTTACTTCCAAGTTCAAAAATAAATATATCAGTGTAAGCTAACAAGCACTTTTTAGACTGAAGCATGATTCCTATTAAAAGTAAAACATTCCTAAAACTTAAACTGAAGCCTATTTGCATTCATATATCAACACTATACACGCAAATGATTTATAAAATAAAATTGTTAGGGAAAACCTTAATTCATACTAATTTATGCATGTATAAGAGGATACTTAGCGAATCAACATAAAGAGAACTACCAAGGAGTGAACTAACATTTAAAATTTTTTATTATAAAAAAGCAATGATTATGATCAATGTAGTGTCTCGATTTACAGTATAAAAGTTCTTAAAGGTTTGTTATTGATGCGGTGTGTCTCTCAGGAGTGAAGGGTCAGGAACAGACAGGCTGCCAAGTGATCCTACAAGTCCATTACTATTATTAGGTGGCTCTTGAATCAAGAGACATTTTAGATAGTGTGATATTTTGGGCGTATTCCAAGGATGCCTAGTTTTGTCTACATTCCTTAGGTCTCTAGAAATTTACCCTGAAATTGAAAAGCTCAAACTCTGAAGCTGGATCAGTCTGAGAACAGAACCCTTAGGGTGATTGAGAAAAGACTCAGTCGTCTATAGCCTTTACCTTCTTTTGCCTTTCCAGAGGGGTCTTTAAAAATATCAAAAAGAAACAGTTGCTATTGAGTCAGTTACTACTCACAGCGACCTCATGTGTGTCAGCGTAGACACTGTGCTCCGTAGGATTCTCAATGGCTGATTTTCCAGAAGTAGATCACCAGGCCTTTCTTCTGAGGCATCTCTGGATAGACTTGAACTTACAACTTCTTGGTTAGCCTCTGAGTGTGACAACTGTTTGCACCACCCAAGGACTCCACTGTGGTCTTAGAACACCTACTTTAGCCTCAATTTAGAGAGAGAATGCTTGATGTATCCAATTGACTAAAAAATATGTTGAGAATTTTTAATTTTATTTCAATGGCATTCATGTCAGGTCACACCACACCTGAAATACTTCATAAGGAATACATATTGAAAAAGAGAAGACAAAACCATTGTTATTTAGATGATGTGATTGCTACCTACAGAATCAAAATGATTAGTGAAATAAGGAACCAGTTTGAAAGTTCAGCAGAGTATCTGGAAGACATATCATGTAAAAGCCAGTAACTTCCTCTACACCAATTAGAAAATGTAGTAAAAAATAATTCCATTCATAATAACATCAAAAACTATGAAAGTAGAAATAAACCTAATATGAACAAAAGTTATCTAATGTTGCAGCTCCTCACATGGGGTACCATCTGTCGCAGCGGTGGTGAATGTCGGGACAGTGGAGACAGTAACCAAACACAACTCTGACAGAGAAGTGGGGCCAGGAGGGTCACTCTGAAGAGTCGACCCCGGCTTCAGTCCCAGAAGTTTATTTATAGTCAATACAGCAAGCAGTGAAGCAAATAACAGAACAATGGGCTTTGGGTGCGGGCAA